CTGTTGACTGCTTTACCCGTTGCCAAACAAGCACACGGTGCTGGAGATATTCTTTCCTTACCAGGTCTGTTTGTTGGAGGCCCATCAAACCATCCATGTAATAACCCGAGCCCATTGTGTCTCAGTTTCAGCACATCTCCGGGGTCGTCCGTTCCAGATTCGAAGTCCGAGGCTGCGTGCTCCGTGCTCCGTGGCGGTTTGTTGGTCTGGGCTCCTCGAACGTTACTCTTGCGACACCCACTGCGGCAAAGGCACAGGACAGGCACAGGCACGGGCTCAAGCCGGACTCCCACGCTCCCTCCTACTCCTCCACCCTCTCCTCAGCTCGCATCAATTCGATCCCCCAGTCAGGACTATCCGTGACCCTGCTTTTGCTCCAGAAACTTGGCATGGTTTTCCCGTTCTAGTCACTCGCTTGACTTGGATGCATTGAACTACTTTCCTCATAACACCACCTATCACTTTTGATCAGTCCTCTACTGGCGTATCTGTTGGGTCTTGCCAATCTGTTTGCGCCTCAGATGAGGTGATGATCGTGACCTCCGACAACATCGCCGCCAACCACTCGAGCGCAACCGTCCAGGCCTCTAGTGTGCCAGCCCCAGGTAGTCCTCGGCTGCAACAGCAATCTCGTGCGCAGCAACAAGACCTCTCTCCAACCACACCCGTCGACATGTCCAACGTCTCTTCGGATCCGGCTGCCTCTGCCGATGCTCATGCTCCCTCATCATCTCCAGAGACCACGTCCTCGCCTACCAACGAGCCTCAATTGCCACCCTCACTCGGTCCGCAGAGAACCGACACAAACACCGCAATGGTCCAGTCGATGAATCCTCCTTCCCCATCCGCTGCAGTCGCCGAACAAAAAATATCAAGACAGTTTTCTACCGCCATTGGCCCTTCCTCAGACGAGCCGTTGCCTACAGTTCCCGCCAAAGACGAAGCACCAGCAACAACTGCCGCAGGGCCAACTCTGACGGTGACACTACTCCTCACCTCGGGAGCACGACATCCTTTCAAGCTAGACAATAAATATTTCGCGAAGCGCAACGTCGAGGTACCAGAGAATGATCCATTCAACCTCAGTGTCTACAAACTGAAGGAATTGATTCTGCGCGAATGGCGGGAAGAGTGGGAAGCAAAACCGTCCAGTCCGACCTCCATTCGGCTGATAAGCATGGGCAAGCTGTTGGATGATAAAGCATCCCTCAAAGGTGAGTGCACACCCCAGAAAACAGATGGGGCTATAGCATTCCGCGATCGGCTCTGTTGTATCTACACTTTGTGACTGACTTGATGCCTCCTCGGGTGTGGACAATAGATTACAAGTTCTCAGTTGACGCACCGAATGTGTTGCACATGACGATCAAGCCGCAAGACTACGTCGAAGAAGAAGACACCAAGGGCGGCAAATCCACCTATTCCACCCACCGCGAGGGTGAGACCAGAAGTCCTGGCTGTCGTTGCATCGTAATGTGATGTCTGTGCCTCACTTCGTCACACACGCTATGGCCCAAAAGCCATATGAAGAGGCTATGTTTATAAAAATATGAATTGGTTAAGTACAGGCTAAGGGAGAGCGCGCTTGACGTACGGCCAATCTGTGGTGAAAAGGACATTTTGGTCCCTTTTGAGTTTCTGATCAGGGAGGATCTACGCGCCCATCCAACATCAATGGTGGCTCCTTCAGCTTCTCTAAACTTCTTGTGGAAGACATCTTTTTCTTGTCCCGAATTCATGGCGTGGCGTTGGTGGGACAGACGGATTTTTCGCATGTTTTTCTTTACGCTGGGACTGTACAAGGACTGAGATACGGGTCCTTATTTCGTCCAGCATTTTGTCTGCACCTGCGCGCAGATGCGTGTTTGAAATTACTTGAGACCAAAGACGCCAGTGATATGGATTGAGGAGCAGGAGTGGAGATGGAGAAGCCAACGAGACACTGGGGTGGAAGGTCAGATTGCTCTTGCACAGAGCGATCGAAGGCATCAGAGATGGGGTTGCATCGCGGCATGACAGTCGTCACTTTGCTGTATATAGAAGGGGCACGAACGGCTGTTTGGGGCACTGGGTGTGATGCATCAAATGTATGGCAGCCGGGAATTGATGGACGAGACTCTGGCCGGGGGACAAGGGCGGGCAGGAAGGATCTTGCAGCATTGCAACGGAGTACATATTGCGCCTGGCACGAGGAATACACTTCTTTTCTGCGTCTCTATTTTATCTTGGGTTGAGTTTGAGTTGAAGTTGAAGTGTGAGACCCTCGCTCGTGTGTAGGTACTAGGTCCGGAGTGGCGGTACTGTATGTCACAGAGCTTCTTACTCAGTCACTCACTCATGTTCCCATCTTGTGGACAAGGCCGGGGACTTGGACTGCAATATCTCATCGTGTTGGATATTTACAATAGTACCTATGGATAGCTGCTGGATAGCTGGAAAGCTGGATAGCTGGAAAGACAGGATAAACGGTGTCACTCAACATATTCTCTGAATGAATCCCAGACAGAGAGACAGATAGACAGGTCTGATGAGGAACTGACGAGGAAGAAGAGGAATATTTAAAGTATGGTACGGTATGGTTATGCAGAGGGACTACCTTTCTGTCTGGTACTCCTTCCTATTTGTCTTTTTTCTCGTTCTTGTTTCTTTCTTCTTCTGATTCTCTTTGCCTGCCTGCTCAGTCCAGAGATATCACTAGTCCTCCATGCCAGTAGTGCCAGACGCCGGACTCCGCGAATCTACATACATACAGTAATATCGACTGGTCTTGCGAGAGGGTGGAGAGGGGTGGATGGGTGGATGGTGATGCCTGCGGTTGGCAGGGAGTATGGAGCGCATTGGTCTCAGTTAGCCAGGCTCAGACAGTGTCGAAGGCCGGACGTGAACCACCAGCTCTGCTCCATGGGTCGCCATTATTTCTTGTTCTTCTTCCTCTTCTTGTTCTTGTCCTCGAGTCGTAAGACCAGATTAGACGGCACTTGACCGAGGTCAAGATCACCACTTGCCCATGCCGACCTTGCGCTCCATCTCCTCCATCCACCCAGTCCCTTGCCCGTCGCCTCCCTGGAAAGCTAACCTCATCCCGTCCTGCCCGGCGTACACATCCTCCCAGGTAATCTCCGCGTCCCGCCCCGTCAAGATCTCTTCGTGAACGGCCGCCGGTCTGCCCAGCACGGACGGCCGAAACGAGTCGGCGTCCCGCACCAGCTTCAACTCCATGCCCCGGCGCAGAGGCTCCGCGATGCCAAAGTTCCGGCGCAGGATCTGCAGCCGCGTCGCCTCCTGTGTCGCTTGCCAGTTCGCCAGGCGGGATTCCAGAGGGTGCGCCGTCGTCACGGTCTGCGTGCTCGCCGTCGACTGGGGGTACAACGAGGCGCGGAGGGTGTCGTGCAGACCGGGGGCCGAGGGAGCGCCGCGGTCAAGGTCATCTTTGGATTTGGTGCTCGTCGTGGCAGAGAGTTTTGAGGCGGTCGTGTTCGAGGTGCTGGTCGGGTGCGCTGCTGGGGGTGCGACACGGAGAGACTGCAAGGAAGAGCACGGGTGTCAGTATATGTTTCTTGTAAAATGATATATTCCTCAGTGATCTCTAGATCATATGGTACGTGGTACTTCTACCCCCAGAAAGGTGAAACTCACCATGATGGGTGGTGCGGAATGTCAAGGTAGGTAGATGCAGGTTGAGGGTAGGTAAAAGGTCGGTGATTTGCTCGAGTGGCAGGTCCTGATGAATGGATTCTGAGGTGTTGATAACGAGGTAGAGGTTGAGTGAAATGTGGAGATGATCAGATAGCTTTGATTTTTCTTCCCGAGCAGAGAGGAGGAGATGCTTATGTTGTGTCTGTAGAAAGAAGCCTCATTGAAGTGAAGGGTTGCGCAGGCATGCACTGGATGTCGCGTTCTTGATACTGCACTAGACCACTTATGCTCCGAAGTACAGAATTGTACGTTGGAGTTTAGCGGCGAGAGCGCCACTTATCAAATTGATCATCAACAGCCTCATTTCATCGTTCTGTGACATAGAATCAGAATCCATCTGCGAACAACCCTAATCAAAAACGCGTAGTTAATCGCTTCGCTGGCGTCTTGAGGAGTGCCCAAAGGGTTTACGCCTCACAGTCTATTTTACTAGAGTGGGTACGCTCAAACGCAGCACTCGCTCGAAAGCCGACGGCGGCATTGAAGACGACGAGCGCAATCGATAGCGCTCTCTCGCGGCAAAAGTCTACACCTGCAGCTGAAGAAGACGATCGAGGTTATTCTACATCCACTCAGTTGCCATGTTTAACAGTCACAATAACCCTTACTCGTCGACGATCTCGGTCGACCCTCTCCCCAAGCGTGGCCACAAGCGACGAGCCAGCCGTAACCCGTCTCCGGAAAGAGGTTGCTCTCCTTTTTCTGTGAACTTCGGGCTGCCAGAGGAGGCTCGAGAAGTGGCCCTCGCCCTGCCGCAAGAAAGGGTTCGTCTGAGCAAGGTCTCCACCGAGGAGTTATCTGGTTCAACTTCCTCACCTAGCGCACAATCATACTCCTCGAAGCGACAGAGGCCTTCCGTTATTGATGCCCACTTAGAGCCACCACTTCCTACATACTTTCCTACCAGCAGAAGCAGCTTAACGTACGATTCTATTCACTCTCTCGATCGTCCGCTCCCACAAGCCTCAACCAAGAGCACATTCCCTGTCGATTCGTATTTCAGCTCTCCCAAGCCCCCTATAACTCCAACTGTAGTTTACCATCTGGGCGAAAAAGCTATCTGGAGTGAGACTGGATGGCTATCTCCAAATTATAAGTCTAACTCTTTTGCAGACAAGAGGCCAGGAGAGAGGCCAGGCGCCGCCAAAAGCGCCGCCGACCCTGTAATCTCTCCGCACAATCCATTATCTGGTTCCCTGCAGGCAGAGACGGAATTAGTGAAATGCCTAAACCAGAAGCCCGGAGCAAGTTCTGCTCTAGGTGCTAGTGGAGTATCTGGGCTTCGGCGTCCAGATAATGCAACAATGAAAAGACTGCTAGGAGGGTCGACGGCAGCTAAACGGCAGACACTCGTTCCGTCTGCGCATTTGGTGCCAGTCCACAAGAAAGATGGCGACAGAGCAAGAAAAAAGGAAATACTATGGTCGCCGCATTACATCAATGAAGCCAGAACACACTACTCCGGAGGACCTGGGATCAAATTACGACCGAAATTCAATGACCCATGGCAGCCTACCCCTGCGAGCGCACCTGATGCCAAGTTGATGGCCAGCAGGGACTTTGGTGAACTAGAGAGTCATCGTCGTCGTCGATACACTGGATTATACACTGCCGGCACCGGAAGATACTCTGCCCGCCTCAACTACATAGAGGAGGTCCAGGACATGTCTCCGGACGACTTTCTGGCAAAGTCTCCCGATGACTATAGAATACCGGTTACTCCCGATGACTATAGAATACCGGTTACGAATGACACAGTATCAGAGCGAGGTAAGTTAAACATGAATCAAATCTCTCATCTCACATCCTCGCCGTATTCCCCAGTAATAGTCCTTCGGAGTTTACAGTCTGATGACAGCAACTAATCATTCGAGTATGACAGCTCCTTCGGTCATGTCAGAGCCCCTGTCTCAGAACAATTCAAATGACGTACTCTCCGAGGGCTTTGGTATGTTTCGTATGGACAGTCTGGACAATCATAGATCGATCGCTTTGGAGGCAGGCCGGGGCGTGAATGGACGGCGGCACATTCTCACAGATTGCAAGTACACGATATCGCAAGACCTGACCGACGGCCACGCTTCAGCGCTAGCCCTCTTATATGCTCTCGCAGAGCGCAAGCCCACACGAAAGCGTCCGCCCGAGTCAAAGAAATTCGGCCTACAGGGGCTGTCGCAAAGGCAAGTTTCTATGCTGCCGGGATCTCAGTCTGAGTAAAGAAAAAACTCGGTATTCTTCGCTACCCGAACAAGTCATGGCACAGTGCAGTCATTAGGGTGGTAGCGCCGGACGTGGCCGAGCCCCAAACCGCTACGCTATGGTGGAAGAGGACTCTGACGATGGGAAACACCACGACATTTTGCGTCTGGAGCTAGAAACTCACATGAGCGGCTCACTAGGCTGAGAGCGCTTGACTGATGGGAGGGCGGCGACTCGGCAATCATTTCCGAGCGAAAAGGTTGCGCAGTCAACAACAAGAGTAGTAAGAGCATTCATAAGCGGGTTTTGCACGCTGCGTCTCAGGTTCAACTGTGGAAGTCGTTTGCAAGATGCCAACTTCTGATCCCTACGCGAGCTTGCACGAGCCAGGCCTCGGCCGTTGCAGCCTAAGCATTTCGCCAGAAGCATGCACACGCAGTTAAATCCACTGCGCCGCATTGTGACTCAATGGAGGAACATGGTGAATTCTGCTAGGTCCTGGGGACCGTCTGACTATATACCTTCGAGTAATTTACAGGGCCCTACCGGCGCTAGTCCGAAGGCCTTCGGCCGAAGACTAGCGTGACGGTCATTACACGTCCTTGGCATCCCTGCCAGTCACAGCATGAATCTCGAGTAATCACGTGGTGACGACGAAACAGCCACTTCAGGCTGCGGCACATTATTGCCCTGCTTCTCTTCGTGACTGCGCTGCATTCTCCTTCGCGCATCGCAACCATTTCCGACTTGCAGTGTTCTTGCCAATGTCTATTTCCTAGACACTGATACACCGCGCGAGCGCCATTCAGAGTGTACCCTCGGCCCCGCTTATAAGACCCGCCTACCGTCGAAGCATAGAGCCTAGCCGCAACAACCCACTCTGCCGCCGAACTGAGTAACGCCTACTATGTCGGTATATTCCACCTGGGAACAATCCGCCATGGTTCTCGATCGGAACAGTAAATTTCGATCCGGATACAAAACGTCCCGGCCGACATTTGACCCCCCAGATACAGACTTTCGTCCACGAAAACGACATCGTCCTAACGGTCCATTACCCAGTGGTCCAGGCCAGAGCCTCCTCAGTATCAGCAACGACCACGGGCTGCGTCGGGCAGATGATGACACGCTACGACGGCTCTTGGGAGCCGATCGTGCACAGAAGGTCGAAAAAAAGGAAGAACCACGGTTGCAGCAACGCTCGGGGCTGCGGCGGCAGGAGGATCCAACGGTCAAGGACTGGGGGCTTGCCTTTTCAACGCGCACGCCATCTCCCCTGTTAGTATCTGTTACCCTGATAGAGGCTTTCGATGCAGTGCTGTTCATCCACAAGACGGTCAAATTATTTCTCAATGCATCGGCGGACTTCGGTGCAATAGCAGCTAAAGTTACCTCTCCTAGCTCTGCTCCTCACCAGCGGCCTCTGCGTCCGGCGACAGTACAAAAGTTACATGATCCGACAATCACGCCCGGAACACTATGTACTAGACTAGGCGAACCTAAAATCGAGGCTAGTGACCTCGACATGGTCTTGCCCTTACCGGCCAGGAATGCACCTCGACAACCAGATCAACCGACACAAACGGACAACAATACTTTAGTCCCATTTACTCAGCGGTATGCGCCCGGAGGATTTCATATTTGGTCTCATCGAGTCGTTAAGTACACAATATCGGAAGACCTGAGTGACCCTAGCGCCGTGTCACGCGCGAAGCTATACGCTCTAGCAGGGCGTTGCAAGTGAAAAGCCGGCAAGACTCAGTTGAAAGCATTTGATCGCACTCTCAACAAATTCTCCGCGTTCCGGAATCGAGGTGATGAGGCTCGAATCAGAACAGACACATCACCTGGAATAATTCCACCAGTCAGTGGCATACGCCCGACCTTCGAAATTCCTGCTGATATGGATGTGGGGTTGCCAATAAGCAACCTCCCAAAAGGAAGAGACTGGCAACTAAGGTCTCCTACGGCCGTTAGGACACTTCAAAAAGACAGATATGCCGAATCCGGATGGTAGTAGTTCGATCTCCCCCAAAGATGTGACGCTCTGGACTTGACCAGGAATATACCGCGAATCCGTCGCGATCGTGCTTAGATCCATCCCCAGCGAGCATCTCGTACCCAATTATACCTCGCGCTACCTCTACCTCTCGTTCGTCTAGCCTTCCTTCGACAGAACATGAGTCTGAGCCCCTCTAAAGACACCGAGAGATCATGTCAGCATGGTTCGAGACCCCGCTGCTACTCTGTCAAGAGTGGACGATTCAACAGAAATTGCTTTGGGTGACATTCGAGTATCTAAGAGAGGACTTGAAGACAGTACACTATTCGACTCGACTATCAGACTGTCGACACGGATGCTCTGTCCGATGAGTTCATCGCCAAGAATTGCGCTTATCCTTCGGGGGGACTGACAAAAGTACCTTTTCAGCATCTCAGGCCCTCGGTCCGGGCAGCCTCGTCGTCATCTTCGCCGCGGACTTCTGTGACATACTTTTCAAACTCCATCGTGATGGCTATGACAGACTCAAAGTGACTAAGCTCTAGCCTCTCATTATGGAACATGGCTAGCTGCATGGCACAGTGGACTGTACTGCGGATCTGCCGGCCGTTCAGCGGCTGCTCCGAGAGCTTCGGTACGTGGAGCTGAAGCTTCTGCAAGTCGAGGCCGACCTGTCCTTCCGGGATGGAGCGAAGCGCACTCAACCACACCTGAGCGCGTCCGTCGCGGTCCAGGGAAGGATAGTGCACGGCCAGCTGGATGCGGCTTTTGAAGGCCTCGTCAAACAAGCCGATGCGGTTTGTGGTCAGAATCAGGATTCCGTCGTAGTATTCGAGGACGCGGAGGAAGACTGAGACGAGGGCGTTGCGCTTGATGTCCTCGGTTGTCCGCCGCTCGAGGAAGATGTCGGCTTCGTCGAGGAGCACCACGCAGTCCCATTCGGTGCCGATATGTAAGACTGACTCGAGATACTTCTCGACGCCCTCGGGGTCAATGCCCATGTCGCCGCACGTGACTCGATAGAGAGGCTTCTTTGCGAGTTCTGCCACGGTCTCAGCCGTCAATGTCTTGCCGGTGCCGGGGCCGCCGTGGAGCAGGATTATCAAGCCATTGCCCTTGCCCTCGATGATATCGACACCCTTCCTCGATGTCAGGTGGACGTAAACGAGCGCCTTCACGAGGTCCTTTTTGCGTTTATCGAGAACTAATTGATCGAAGGCTTCGGTGTTCCATTTCAGCTCATTAATGTGATCCAGTTGCAGGGTGCCTGTACTGTTCGATTAGCGACAAATTTGTGCCCAAAATGTGGGGGACATAAGACCACTGACGCCACTTCTTATCCAGAAATCCAAAGCCTTGGACGTATGCCGGCAGCAGCATCAGCATCTCGTCGTGATCAGGTCCTTCGAGCTGCTCGAGAGTCTCTGGTGGGATCTCGCCGGCGTCATCTCGTCTTTGATGCTCGATGGCTTGCTGTCCTTCTTCTGGCTGATGGATAACACGATACATGTTGTAATCAATCATATATCGGTGTTGTGCCTGTAGTCTCATGTCAATTAGGGAATGCGTTACACCGACAGCATCAGACTCACTGTCCGTGACTCAAACGGCCTGTGAGGCGCGGTGTAATGAATGTATTTCCTGCCGCGACAGTCCCAGAATTTGCGGCCCCGAGAGAGTAGCTGGTCTCTTACACTAGACAGATCGAGCCTGAGTGGAAAAATCTCCAGACTATTGACGCTGACGGGTTCTTTCTTTAAGGGGCGGCGCACGTGGAGTTTGGTCTGGCGCACTTTGAAGGCTCCATTAAAGTCATAGGACCAGCAGTCAAGAGAAAGGCCATCTTGCGTCTCCTGGACTTGCTCAAGCCTGTACGCAAGCATGGTCGTGTCTTTGCGTGTGACGACGAGTTCTCCCACGCGGAACAGCTTGCTGAAATGCGCATCGCTAACAAGTCCCGATGAGAAAAGTGTCTCCGCTTCGGCGTGGTCTTTACTTCCCAGCTCCGAGATACAGCGCAGAAGCAACCTCGTGTATCTCTGCAGTTCTGGCCCTGCGGACAGACGCACTACCTCCTGAACCTCGGCGGCGTGATGGAAGTAGAACGGAAAGGGAAAGCTCAAGCTCTCTTCGTCCTGCCACCTACTGAGGATGTCGGAATTCCCGAGGACAGTAGACAAGTCGTTGACGAAGTCGGTGGATTGCAAATCCAATCTGATCGACTGTGGTAAAGCCTCGGGGCCGTCACATGGCAAGCGAAAGAAGTGTGCTTGGTTTGCGCGCAGGAATGGCTCCTGCAGGTGCGGTAGGGTGACCTGCTCAAAGATGGTGTCGACTTGCTGCAAGTACGCGTCGCAGGAATACGTCTTGTAGATGACGATGCCGGCTGAAGCCACAAGCTCGTTGTAGTTTTGGATGCGCTTCTTACCGCGGAGCTGGCTTGCCTTGTCGTCGCCCGGGAAGAGCCTTGGAGCGTCGAGATATAGAGCGTTCTTGACGTGGCCAGAGTGGTCGGTTTGACGCCCTCGTTTTTGCTGGCAGGACACTTGGTAGATATAGATCACAGTGTAGTCGTCTTTAGAACCGAAACTGTGGCGTGGCCGTTTGAAATCGTGTTCACGTGGCACCTCGGTCGCGCCATCGCTCCGGGCATCGTCGTCGTCGTCGTCGTCGTCTTCAGACAATTCACGTTCTCGCTTGTTGCTGGGAGCGAACCTTGGGTTGGCTATCGGGGCCCCACGTCTGAAATCCATAGCTATGAAGCCTGAGCGTGGATGTGTTTCAATATCCTCTAGTAGTAGGTTGATCCTGTTAGTGAAGGAAAGATATATCAAGCTGAAGTGGACTCACCACCTCGAAGTCCTTAGAGCCGTAACTCGCTAAACCGCAAGGCAGACCGCTGGGGTGGAGGCTGAGCTGGTAGGTGGCTTGGTCAAAATCTGCAGGTGAATGCGCCTAGACGCCCGATAAGGGGATCTAGCAGCATCAAATCCCGTTCTCCATTCGACAGCCTGTAGACCTGTCACCTTTAGCCACGGGTGAATGATAGGCGCAGTAGCTGAGCACATGACTCATTGGGTTGGAAGACTGAAGGCAGAGCCTAACCCTGTACTGACAGCCTCAGGCATCCAGGCAACTACTGGCATCGGGAAGCCTTTGATTCGAGTCCTGAAATGACGCTTGTAGCCCGGGCTGGTCAACTCATTTTCAAGCTTCATTTTCTGTAATGGTACGACGGACAAGTCATGATGCCAATTGAGCCTCTGACGCTATTTGAACACGACACTCCGTCTCGCTTTTCGGTCAACGGCACGAGCCCGCTTTGTTGCCTTTTTGTTGATGGGTTTAGGGCGGGCAACGAAGGCCGTGAATACGCGACCCGAGGCTGAGAGATCCGCCAGTGCTGATCGATCTGAACAATAGCTCGCGATGAGGATTTTGACCACACCTCCCCGAGACGCCACCTCATCCGCAGCGAGTTGAAACATGGAAATGAAATCGCGGACTCGGGCAGGGTCGTAGTTAAAGTCCTTAAACACGTCGCTCGCTTCAACCACGACAACACATTTCGACAGCTTCGAGACGACCTGAGAGAACAGAGTCCGCCACTCGCTCTCATGGTGGTGAAGTTTGAACTGTGATGCGCTTAACTTCAAGTCATTCTGGTCTGGCATCGTCGGGTCGTGTCGAAGTGCTTGCGCTATCAGCGTCTTCCAGAGTCCTGTTCGATCGGTCGATTGTGGTCTGGACTTCTTACTCTCAGATAACGCCCAGATGGCGCTGGCACCCGCCGCCCAAGCATAGTCCACGACGCTGACAGCCAGGTCCTTGAGTTTTGCTTCCGTCAATGGACTGCCTTGAACTACCAGCAAAGCAGAACCGTTGCTAGCTGCCCAACTCCGTATAACATTGACAAGATTGAGTGACTCCTGACCTGCGTGTTTCCAGGGTTGTCGTCGCTTGTAGATAGCTCGACATTGATCTAGTCGCCGGATTGCATCTTCACCAACACTCAACTCGTTGAGTACTTCGGCGAACTGTAAGTCCCGCAGTCTTTCCTTGTTATCAAGCACGTCGCCGGAGATTTGATGGCTCAGTGCGTGGGTGCCTAGTGTGACATTAGGTAATTGATTGGAATTGGTAGGGTATGGTCCTTACTGCTTGCGACATAGAACAGGCTATCAATCTTGCCTTCGACCGATGCCAACTGAGAGACAGACTTGGCGAAGGCATCATGCAACCATTCTAGTTTGCTGTCGACAGCATTCAGACTCGTAACGCTTTGCGTCTGCATCAATGTCACACCACGGAGTTCGACTTTGGCGGCTGAGTCTGCGACCGTATCGAGTGATGCCGTACAGGCCTTGATCTGGTCGACGGTTTCCTTATAGCCAATATCATAGGGCTCTGACACTGACTTCAAAGCTCTCCACCAGCTGCTTTTCTTATACCACTTCACCGTCTTCATCAAGAATAGGATGACATGGCCGTAAAGTCTGGCAATAGTTGGTAGAATCTCCGCCGGGGAATAGAGTTTCGAGTACACTGTCACCCGCTGCAGCGCTTCGCCGACAAGCGTCAGTGCTTCCGCAATCTTTGCGAACAGGCGTGCATTATCAATAGCAGCCTGCACATCAGTGAAAGGTCCTGAAGGGTAGGTATAGGTAGAATCCTTACCATGAGAACGAACTTTATGGCTCCCCATGCGAGAGCGGCGTACTCTGGATGCGACTGTGTGAAGACGTCGATCACGGAGCCATAATACATGATCTGATGCGGTAGCCGCGAAACCCATGTCGAAATGGGCCCGCCTTGAGAGTGCGAAGCTTGGTAGTCGCGGCGAGCGTTTTCGGCCACGTTGAGGACATCTTGAAGGGACGTCTGTTTGTCGATCCAGTCCTTCTTGACCTTGTCGTTGGTCACTTCGTTCTTGAAGTATTCGACGCCTTTCTCGAACGCCTCGCGGGCGACGTCGTAGGTTCGTGTAGTATCACCAATGTATGCGCTTATTAGCAGCTGTGGGTCGTCTTTCGCTGCCATCGCATATCTAGTCGCCGACGAGGAGGAAATATCTCGATGGCGGCAATTATAAAGCAAGAGTCAATCAACAATGATCAGTAGTCCTCAGGATGCAATCAGAAGGCAACCAGAATGCCCAGCACGTCTCCGTTTGCAGGTGTTGCACAGCCCACCAGCACCGCATACGAGCCTGCATTCGCCTGGTTAATAAAATATTACTGGAGTTCAGCTACCCCTTCGGGTCGGCCAAGGCGCTGGCTGTTCGCCCATCCACGGCCGCTAAGCCCCCCCGCGATTCAGCCTCAAGGGCAAAAAGGGTCGTGCACGAGGCAGTAATGACTTTTTGTCGCTCGCAGAGGCGGATAGCCGAGAGTAATTAAGCCTTTTCATGCCGACCATAAGGATAATTTCAGTCGTAGGCATCTGAAAGGATGATGCAGCGGATGGGGGGACGGGCGTCGAGATTCTGGTCGTGAAACTGAATTTTCTCATCTTGATTGTATTTGAATCATCATAGTCGACTATCCAAGAGCGTAACCTGTCTTCTGTGTCTATCCTCCACGACTTGAGCGCTCTATCCCAGCTCTCCCTCAGCAAACTCGACTCCTTCTAACCCTTCTTTCCTAGATATCGTGTGACGCTCACAGCTCCCGCTCTCATGGTGACCAGACAGACATCCTTCATCCCCGTACATTTGCTTGCTTATCCTTCCGTGCCCAACTCTGAAGGCCCCTCGATCCCTTCCCATCACACTGTCAAGTATGATAGAGCCTGAGAGCAAAACTTCGCGTGCAAGCAAGTTAGTTGTTTCGCCCAAGGTCACTGCCCCGCCCCATTACGGTGCGTTCGAGGACATTAACCAAGCCATCTTCTGCCCTGAGAAGAGGATTGCGTGCGCCTGTGCCTGCTTGAGCCGACTCGGGATTCTCAAGGGTACGGGTGGGGTAGAGAGGCGAGTTGTTGGTAAGGCTGGTGCCCTCGTGCCCCTCTTCAACACCATCCTGCTCAAGCTGCTTCTGGATATCCCTCTTGCCATGTTCAGGATCATTCGTCTCCTCGCCCACAAGCGCTTCCAGTGGCTTCTTGACGATGCTGTTCTTCACCAGCTTCGTCGAGACAGCAGGCATGACAACCTCAGAGCCCCCTGTCTCAGTGATATCCTCCACTTTCGCGTTCCTGAGAGGAACGACATCACGTCTATCCACCTGCGTGACACTCCCTATATACGGGTGGAGTTCTTCCGGCTGTGGGCAGCCCACAGTCAGGCATTTGATGCGTTCGCCGATGGAAGAGGGGTTTTTCACTGGTGCGGCTCCAGCGAAGCAGATGATCAGCACCGACGTCGCAGCCAATTTCGTGAAGGTAACCATGGTGAAGTGAGCTGTTCTCAGTGGCGAGATCGAAAACGGCTAAGAAATCTGCGAGCCTTTGATCTGAAGACTACCAGCTTCGAAATGTGAGGATGTCGTTGCAGCAGCACAATGTCGATGGGGGAATCCGGCATGTGAACGTGTCTTGGGTGATGACGATGCAGGTCTGTAATATTGGAGATGTTGATCGAATATGACCTTTGCTCAGGGAGATCTCTGGAAAATACGGACGTTGAGGATTATATATATACATTTGAAGGTCCTCATCGATGTGCGAGGAGGTGTGGATGTCGCGATTCGTGCTCCACCTTGACCAGAGTTGTCTGCATTTTAAGTTCTTGCAGATCAAGAGGTTTCGCTGGTGCTGGCTGGTGTACCGATGGATGTGTTCGCCCCTTGCAGTAACCAGACTTTTCCAGAGTCAGGGGTCTCGGTGACAGGGCATGTCGACAGGGATGAATGTCTGGATCAAAGACTGACAGCCTTGGCCCCGAGATGCGACAAATTGAGGTGATGAAATCCAGCTAACAGCCAAAGTATCTCTCCTCCACCCATCTCTTCTCATTGTCTTCGACAATCCTGGCCACCACCACCTTGATCTTAGGGAAAACTGTCATCAACCTCTTCAGACCCCGTCGCCCAGCCATACACGTCACAAAGACAATTCTTCCCTCGGCGACCCCGTGATCAACCAAAACTTTGACAGCCATCAGGGCAGCTCCACCACTCGACATTTGTGGGTCTAACAGCATGACTGTTTCGTGTTCCGCAAGATCAGGGAAGAGCTTGAGGTAGTGCAGTTCTGGCTCCCCAGTACGAATGTTGGATTGTATAAGCAGTCGTCCTGTCAGGCAGTCTGGAATGGTTCGCTTGAGCCCCGTCTCCATACAGCTTCCACCGCGAAGAATCACCACAGCAGAAACTTTGCCGGCCGATGTGAGTCCAGAATACGTATAGCCTGTTGTGGTCGTAACGTCGGCGGCGATGTAGTTGTGGCAGTCAAGAGCTTTCTCGATCAAGAGTGCCGTCAACCTGTCAAAGTAGAAGACGAATTCAACCTGGTCAGTTATCGGGTTTCGGAGGATTGTTGATACCCCGACAATTTGTGGTGTTTCACCTAGGACCATGACATTTTCGGAGAGAGTATAATCTTCGACCTGTTGGCCCAGCTTCTCCAGTTCCGCGTTGTGTCTGATGGACTTCTCCTTCAAGATCTGTCTGGTCTGGTTGACGATCATCTGAATCGCCATCTTGTTCTGCATACCACGGGGTACTATCAGGTCGGCAATTTCTCTTTGGGGGTCAACGAATTTCTGAAAGACGGGTTTGACATAACTGAACCACTGTTTGATGGTCCCTTCAATAGTTCGACCCCGCTCTCTCACATCACGCACGATGCGCCTCGACAGACAGACATCTGGATCTGCTTCAACGAAGATCTTCATATCCAGTAGGTCGAGGACACGCGGGTCGTGCAGGGCTAGAATTCCTTCGAGGATCACAACATGTGGTGAGTATATCGAGACAGTCTTGTCTAATCTCTGATGTTGCTGAAAAGAGTAGATCGGTATGTCGGTTCTCTTCCCTTTCTTGAGATCTATCAGTTTCTCCACAAGGAGGTCAAAGTCGATTGATTCCGGTGAGTCGAGATCGTACTCATTTCGGTGTGCCAGAGCATTTTGTTCAGGGGTTAGCGACTTGTAGAATGAATCGATAGACAGGATGATGACCCAGGGAAGATTCAAGGACTGCACAATTTCCACCGCCAGACTTGTCTTGCCGGAACCTGAAGATCCAGCTATGCCGATTATGCTCATGTCCGCCCATGGTGGGGAATAATGTGCTTTCTGGGGGATCTCGCTGGGAACTTCTGCTTTCCGAGCTGATGCAAGGATGGAGAGTTTTCTGGTATCTGTCGACCCTGACATTCCGTTGCACAGTGTAGATAATTGGATTTCAATGTCTCAATGCGAGCTGTAGGCGATTCAAATCCTCTGAGCGGGATAGCTCCTTCAAGGTAGAAGCAAGATAATGATCGTTTTTAAAGCCACGACGACGAACCGGTACAACTAAAACGAAACCGTCAACACCAATCGCCAGTCAGATGCAAGCTCCAAGAAGCTATGAAATCACGGATATCTTATGCAACGAAGTAGCAGTGAACAAACGCCCAGATATATCGAGTAGACTTGTGAGCGTCGTTTGAAGAGTGATATCGGGTGGAGGGTGAGGAGGATGAGATATGGTGGATCTCGGAACGGAATTATATTGTTCCATTCCGCTACTCCACTTCACTTGTGCTCTACACAAGTTTCTCCGCAGTTTTGTTTTCAACCCGCTGTAATCTGTGTCTTTGCTTATAATGCTTCCTTCCAAACCGCTCTGACGGTCTGCCATGGACCCGGATAACTTGTCAGCAAATTGGAAGAAACTTCAAGCCACTCTAAGCACGAAGACAAGTAGCAACTCCACGAAATTGTCAAACCATGGCGTGAAACGCAAACGGGTAGTCGTGAGGCATACCGCGCCCAAGAACGCAGCAGAATTCGCGGAATCTAGGAAGAGACCACGTATCCGCGGGACTATGGCTACAGGTGGCGGCGTATCTACGAAAACACTGTCTATCCAAGAACTAGAGCAGTCTGACAACGCTCCTCGTCCACGGTTTCTTGCCAACTCATCATCGCAGGCCAATGCTGGGTTGTCTCCCGAGTACGTTTCGCATTCCCCTTGACGTCCTTTGTCCTGACCAGCTGTTAGGGTGGAAATCGGCAGGTACGTTGCTCTAGATTGCGAGATGGTCGGCGTTGGGCCGAATCCAGACAGAGAATCGGCACTTGCTCGTGTCAGCGTTGTCAATTACAATGGCGACCAAGTCTACGACTCTTACGTTCTTCCCCTTGAACCCGTCACAGACTACCGAACGCATATCAGTGGCATATCACACATTCACATGAAAATTGCACGAGAGTTCAAAGAGGTCCAAGTGGAGGTGGCAAGGATTCTGAAGGATAAAGTTATTGTTGGCCACGCCATACGGCATGATCTGGCAGCCCTGATGATCAGCCACCCTCAACGAGATATTCGGGATACAGCTCGCCATCCACCATATCGCAAAATAGCTGGAGGTGGATCGCCGCGACTAAAAATTCTGGCGTCAGAATTGCTAGGTTTTGAGATACAGCAGGGCGAACATTCAAGTGTGGAGGATGCCCGGGCGTGCATGCTACTTTTTCGAAAGGACAAATCGGCTTTCGAGCGAGAACATGCCAAGCGATGGCCAGCACCGCCTCCCGAAAGACATCAGGACGTGGAAGGCGAGAAGAAACCTCGTAAACAAAAGAAAAAGAAGAAGAGGAAGCATTGACCCACGCAGCGATATGCCTAAGCCTGGCACTATCTGTTTCTGCCATGATAGCAGAACAACCCGCCGGTATAACCTTATCCGATTTATGGTGCTTCCTGCCGCTTCCTGGTGACATCGCCAATCGCTTGGTGTCAAATGCAGCCTTACAATAAATGACGAGATACGACAGAACTTAATGAAGGAATCAGAACTGACCCGGCGTATAGCGAATTCGCCTGCCATCTCTGAATCGCCAATGTCTCGATGACGCAGCACGCGGTCTTCTCACAGCGGTATGGCAAAGCTCCTCTTCCTATGGCCCTCTCTAAATTCCGGAGCCTTGCGTTTCCTGGTCGATCGCCCTGTTTGATACCCGCATTCAGCACGTCTTTATCCGTAGCTGAGGCATAGGCTTCCTGTTTTACTTTCTCCTATATGGGCCATGCCAGCCTTAGACCTCCTTGCATAATAACCCCAGGTCTCACCGTGGTGGTTTTATGAGACATTGATAACGACGTACATGTTCTATTTAATCCTTTGCGCATGCTTCTATTACCACACCTACAGTGGACTTAGTTTCCGGCAATTGGCGTCGGCCAGACATTTATCCGAAGATTATCCGGGTTAATTGGATTCCTCTTTGACGCGTCTTCAGCGACGCGTCCAAGCCTCCCAGCTGCCTCCCTACAGTTCAAATCCAAGCCTACCGCATCAACTCCTCACTACAACAACAGGTGGCTTTGCGTATCTGGATTCATTTTCAAGTACCTGTAAAAATGCTGGCCTTACAGCGAAACGCAAACTCTACAGACAAATGTGTTGTCAACATCCTCCCCTGCCGTATCCACCACAATGGTCCAACCAAAGTGACGAAGAGATACTGGTCGCCAGAAGCTGAGAAAGGTACTTGTCGGCACGCGTTCTCAGATATCCCAAGGAGACGCTAACATTGGCATTCCAAGATGGTACGGCAACTTCATACTTTCGAGGCCGCAAGTTACGAGGCAAACGCATAAATATACCCTCTGGATACGAAGGTAATAAACTCCGAATCCAGATTCTCAAGAAGCCCCTACTGAGAGGACCGTAGGGGTCGTCGCAAAGGACGCCGATCGATATCTCCCGCAGCCTTGCAAAACGCAGACTGGACCCACGTATACCGTGGTGGATGAAGATATTGAGATTGCCGAAGACGACGACGACGACGACCCTCCCGAGCCAGTCAAGGTCCTCGAGGAGTTATCCACCTTTGAAGAGGTCATTGTTTGGGGCCATGATGCTGTGCCAACAAATGAAGATACCTTTGTGAAGGGGATCGAAGAATGGATCGCTTTTGCCGAGGCGATCCACGGTCCTTCCACCAAAAACTCCCTGCAGAACGACAGACAGCTAGTCGCCCAGGAAGATAACCAGGACACAAGTACGACCACACAAGTCTCGACTCCCTAGCCTCCTTTATCCTTGAGGTATTGTTGCTTGGCCGTGGACCACTCCTTCTTCAATCGAATATATTCCTCCGAAGCGATACACCGCCTCCAATAGCTCTTGAAGATTTCGCTCGCCTCTTCTTTCTCCTTCCGCTTCCCCTCGACATCGTCTCCGGTCCATTTCTCCAACTGTTCTCCCTCAGCACCATATTTGCGACCGCCTTTATGGTTGGCGTATCGGCGGGCGCGCGTCATGCCCATTTGGATGAACTTGCGACTCATGTCCGCCCCCACCAAATCACCACGTTCCACATACGATTCGAAGATGGACCACAAGATTTCTGCTGATTTCTGCGCCAGTGGAACAGTGCGAAAAACCCAATAAGGCAAGATAAGACTCTTGTATGGTTCAAATGACAAGACGCCCATTTCTCCTCGTGCGATTTCGTACGAGTATCGCAATTGTAGATCATCCAATGCGGGCGCTTCTAAAGGGTAGCATGGCGGCGCTAGGCTTTCAAGTGTCTTCGGCATGGTTTTCGTGAAGAGCAGGACTTACTGGGCCTAAAGTCAGAAGCGGTTGGAGGTTGAAGAGGATGGGAACAGAAATGCAGACCACTCATGACGACACTCGACCCCAACGATGCGGGTGGCACCTTATCTGTTCCGTCTAGATCAAAAGTTTGTTTCCCCCTAGTCTGTCAGCCAACATTCATCCAGACAGCCACTCTTGCGAACAGAACAGAAAATCAGGAAACATTCAATACATCTGCGAAACAAAATCAACGCGTCAGATCGAGAGATTATTGGTTCCCCCGATTCGCCGCAATGACAGTAATTCGAATGTCTTCTCCATGCTGTCATTACCATAAGTGGTAATAGGCATCGCAGCAAGACATGCCGAGACCTCACAAAAACAAGAGCTTACCCAATGTTGAATAGAACGATGGTCCACTCCTAGAGTCGACGGATGATACAGCCTGAGGTAACTATGCAAGCCACAAATAGCTGTTTTGGGATAGCGACAAAACTCTCGAACTCTCTCTCTACTCCGACCAGAAGGTTTTGAAATCTCGAATTGTCAACCCACTTCGACTCTACTATTACCCTGGTTCGAACAACAACATCTGGGAATAGGAATAGGAATGTATCAACGACCATAGAGATCACGATGACCACTGTCTAAGCATTCAATCATGGTCCTCCCCAACCATCCAGCTGGGCAATTCACACCACACTCTTCGCCATTGCCGTCCAAGATACCCGTTGCCTGCTTGTTTGGTTGCTTGCCACAGGGCTGCTATGAGTAAGCACTCGCACCCAGTGGAGTCAGCTAGTCTTGAATGCCTTTCATGTGCTCTGTCAAGCGAGAGAGGCGCTTAGCGTCCCTCCAGACCACACTCAACCAATGACAGCTTCCTTGGGTTACCGAATAAGGAACCGGCACTATCATTTAGTGTCACTTCCTTGAAGCTTTCGCGGAGCGTACTCCACAACCTACCAGTGTCTCTGAGTTCTGAGGCTGGACCATCGACAGATTTACCAAGGGTAACTAACCTGAAGACTGCTTTTGTAAGCAAAGAACCTTGGCTGAATCTGCTTAGGAATGAGCAGACGGCGCGACTTGCTAAAGCAGCGAGACCACCTACAATGCTGCCCGAGAAGCAGTTCGCCCATTTTACACAGTGTGGCATGACCATGGCAGGCACCTGTCGCTTTGAGGATAAGCGAAGCCAAGGACGCCGTATAAATCACGCTTATATCACCTGAGTTGCCGTCCAGCTGATGAAAGGCCTGTTGCTTGGCTGGTTGATTGCCCCGGGATGACCACTCCTGATAGTCATATCTGAAGTTCTTGGCTCTGGAGAGTATTTACACAAGTAACACCTTAAGAATAGTGTCCATCGCTGACGAAGACTTGGTCGGGACGACGAAGACTTCATCCTGCCGATCGCGTTCCGTACCTCTCGATCTGCGAAGTTCTCGCTCAATGGTGCCCTCAGCAAAATCCAATGGGAGCCACTGAACAGGACCATGATTGTGGTTGGAACTTGAGGTTTGGGCATGAGAGGGATGTCTTCGAGGTCGCTTCCAGGTCGATGTGCTCCAGCCTGTTCTGAAGTTCCATCCTTCTCGGTTATCCACAGCTAACTTTCTTGGTCTTGCACAGTTGCAGCGAGAGAGAAAAGATGCTCTTCAAGGAATCACACGCGTTATTATTACCGCGTATCCTTTTCGCCGACAGCGCCTCCATGATTAACCCGCCCGTCACATGCTACATGTGTCCCACGATCATGGCGTACCCGATCTTTCTGATGTATGCCAATACATACTTGAGGGAACAGGGGACATGAAACATGGACTCTCGAGCATTGACGCTGCCTGATCATCCGTTCCATTCGCACTGTGGCTATACAGTTCTTTCAGGATCTGGTTCTCCGCCTCTAACTGAACAACGGTGGCCTTGAGCCCCTTAACGATTTCGAGAAGCTCGCGGTTATGATGGGTTAAAGTCCGGAGTTGTGAATTGTTGGCAGCCAAGGTTGACGAGGCAGCCTTCAGCTGAGCTTCCTTGCGTGCCCGATACGCTCGTTGGGCTTTTCGATTCTGTGCACGTCGTCTCTTGGTGACTTTGTCAGAGGCACATCTTGTCGCATCCGTTCAGTACACGTACCTCGCCCCGAGTCTGAACCACTTCACATTCCCTGCCATACTGGTCCACCACAACAATATGCATATCACGGATGGCCCGGTCTCGCGGGGCTACTGGTGTTGAGCATGCTTCGCTCTGATCAGGGGATTCGAGTGGTGTCGAGGGGTTCAAGCCATATGCGTCGAAGGAAAGGGGCGACGCTGTGACAGAGTTCTGAGAAGAAATAATCTGTCAGTCTAGGCCGTTCTCCAGAGAGCAAAGAAGAGACCTACATCGTCCCAGCGAGAAGCGTCAGAGACGCATATCTGATCGAACTCCAGGAGCTCTCCCACATCCAGGGAGTTGAGGTCTGCCATGTGGTGAAAAAAGGACGGCTTATGTCGCCTTACCAGGGCCCGTGTCAACCATGGGCGAAGAAGGTCCCTGCTTCGAAGATGCAGATCTCTCAATCTTTTATGGTGCTTGATTCGGTATTTCTACCCTCGGTCCGTGCTCGACGGGACGAGTAGCCTATAGACCAAGTAGCCATCGGTCATCGCGATGACTTAGGCTGAAACCGGTCTCTGCACCCCCTGTTAAAGATCGATCTATACAGAGTTCTTCGATCTCAATGACCGCCTTGGGTTCCTTTGGCGAGGGGCAAAGGCGTTGAGAGTACCTGAGTCTGCCTGCCCTCACTACAGACTCGAAACGAATTGAACCAGCGCACATTCGGCACAACCAGCAACGGCCATGCAGTCGGGGTGGCGTCCAAAGGCAGATTCTACCGATCTTTTACCCAACGGAGACATGGTGTCTGAGCCAAGAAATGACCGGGGCAGGTTGTGGTCAGGGGCGTGGTGTCTGTGCGTGCATGTGGAAGCGAAGGCGTTAAAGTGGCAATGTGGCTGTAACATTACTCGGTACTCGTACTCGCTCTTTTGACGAGGCTGGCACGGTGTTGCGTATTTGTACGAGGAAGTTGTACCCTGGCAGCCTGGGCGCTTGGGTCGGTAAGCGACGGCATTCTTTGATTGCTGAAAGATATACTGCCTGATCGGGACTAGTACTTGGCTGAATATCCACATCTGCCAAGACTTTCCAGCCAGACACCTTTAAAGCTGAGCTGCTGAGATACAGCAATCAATGGACGACCTTGATGATCTCCACGCCTTTGTTCAAATGTAGTTGTTCGCGGCCGCCGTGTGAGTGGCTACGCTGGTCTCGAGCCAACGCGGCGCCGGTATCGATCAGAGATGTCTCACTCCCGCAAATACAAACTATGACAAGCTGTAGGAGCCTAGGTACGGTACCAGTCATGGCAACCGGATCACCTCACGTCTTCACCTCACGTCTTCCTTGGTATGAATGGTACACAGGCACTGTGTTGATCCCAGCAGACAATACTCCTAAGGGTCACCTTCCTGCAGACTGACATGCAGACGCTACTCGACCTTCTCGGATGAGACGACCATCCTCCTCGGTAGGAATGCACACTACAAAAGCTAGGTGAAACTCACAAACTTCGATAGCCTGGAGTCTTGTCATCAGCCAGCACGACACGTCTCGCAGACGCCGTGATGAGTTTGATGAAGCGCGTCCCTCACTTCACTTACCTGGGTCAAGCTTCAACCAGTATTTGAGTTTCTCCTTGGCGTTATGACACAACATCATTTTCAGTCCGAGATCTCTTCTGGTTGGTGTTTGGCATCTCCAGTCTATCTTGACGAGAGAGCATTCAGTTTTCTCTCGCTCAAACGTCAGAGGAAAACAAGGTTGATGTAGATGTGGTTGGTGGTGATTACCTCGTGGACTGTGGCGAACAGGACAAGGTCCATGTCAGAGACTCCTGTCGTTTGAACTCGTGGGGAAGTATAGCGAACTACGTGATTGAACAACTGTGAAGAGATTTTCGCGGCAATTTTACTAAGAGACCTACTTCGTCCATCTTCAGGGCCTTGGGGTACACACGACGTGGGCAAGCGCTGAGATATAACAAAGTCAGCCTCAATGGCCAATCTCGAGAGTCCCCGCGAGGCCAAGTCTCTTGTATTGAGAGCATAAGCTTGCTCGATCCAAAAAAGAAGGCAGACCTGGAGTTCTATCGGCGACCAGCCAGAAATTCCCGATGCTGCCGTATTCAATCCATCTGGCCAAACAGCTCAGACTACAAATAATGATCGATCAGATCAGGGCGGCACACCAAGGGTCATACCGCCGTCCACCGCAAAAACCTGGCCAGTGAGCCACGAGGATTGCTTACTACACAGGAATAGAGCTGTGCCTGCGATATCCTCGACGGTCCCCAGTCGAGGCCAGGGAGTGGCCTTCTTCATGTGCTTGATAATATCTCCGTCCTCGAAGTTCTTGCGGGCCATCCCGGTAGCCACTACGCCTGGGGCTATACAGTTGATGTTGATCGAGTCCTGCGCGTGGTCTAGCGCCCCGGCGCGGGTCATGTGGTTGATGGCCGCCTTCGTCGCCGAGTACGCCACCTCATACGGGAAGGCAATGCTGCCGGCGCAGGACGAGACATTGACAATCTTACCCCGACTTCCCCATTCCTCGTCGACCTCCTGCTTCAGAAATTGCTGGATGGCCAAGCGATTGCACTTCGAGGTGCCTAGCAAGTTGACGTTGGCCATCTTTTGCCACAGGTCATCGTCCTCGACGGCGAACTTCCGGAACGGTGCCCAGTAGCCTGCACAGTTGACGACGATATCTAGACGTCCAAATTTCTGTAAGGGTTCGCGAGTTAGTTTCTGAATCTATCATGTACAAGTCAATCCAGCGGGGGGGAATGTGGCGAACCGCAATGCCTTCGCTGAAGGCTTTTTCAATGTCTGACATGATGGAAATGTCCACTTTGAAAAACACGGCTTGTCCGCCTTGCGCGAGAATCACATCAACCGTGGTCGTCTGCAGGTCCTTTTCGAATCCCTCTGGGTTCGCCTCTGGCTTGAGATCGCAGCAGATGATAGCGACGCCCTGGTTCGCAAGGCCAAGAGCAATTCCTCGACCCATGCCACTGCTCGCACCGGTGACGAGGGCCACTTTACCCTGCAACGTCTTTTGCGCCATGATAAACCAGCGTCGCTGCGAGTCGTATATTCCTATTCAATTTGCGGGGTTGGTGATGAGGTGGCTAATCAAGCTTTTATGCGCCTCACAGTTCGGCAAACCGGTATCCTGTATCAGGGCAAATGCTGACCTCAATCAATGTTTATCTAGGCAAGCAAGTTGACATTTAATTTGAAAAGAGTGCCACAGACTGACGATGTGCCGTCCACGCTTGTATACTCTTGCCATGGCCAAGGATCGAGGATCCGGGGTTGGACGGTGCCATGTATTCCCCCTGAAGATAGTCCGGTGCCCCGCCGCGGTAACTTTTGGCTGTGTGTTTTTAGGTACGAACATATTCGAATCACACCGTGTCATATCATTGCCTGGGGCACCCAAAATAATGGGGCAAGTTGGATTTTGTGATTTATGCCGGCGACTTATACAAAAGGTTGTGTCGACATCTCATAAGGACGGGGACCACCACGCACTGAAAATCGACAAAAGGCACATCGCATCATACCCTGTCCTTCTCCTCATCCGTCCCATACTTCAAAGCACATTTCTACTAAACGTCGAGAGTCGACAACGACAGAATGCCCGACATGAAAGGCAAGGTATTTGCCGTGACCGGTGCTGGCTCAGGCATCGGCAGAGCCACGGCGGTGAGGCTAGCAGAGCTGGGAGCTCAAGGCGTCGCAATCAGCGACGTGAATGAGGCCATGTTGGAGGAAACAAGACAGCAATGTACGCACCCACACCCTCACCCTCACCACTGAAATGTCCACATGAGCCTTTCTCCTCATATACACGTGTGTTCGAGGCTGATTTGGATGTTTTCTCAAAGGCAGCCGGTATGCGACGAAAGTGACAGTAAAAAAGGTCGACGTGGCCAATACCGACGAGGTCGATCAGTGGATTCGCGACGTCGTCGGGGACCATGGCAGGTTGGACGGCGCGGCAAACGTCGCTGGCATTGCGGGCGGCGAAGGCCAGATTACAGAGGAGATAGTAAGTCCTGACCAACAACGGCCACCACCACCACCACCACCACCATCCTGTCCCGTCTTTATCCAGACCTCTCCAGTCCCGTCATGTCCTGACTCCTCCAAGGTCCAAAAAGACTGGGAGCGAATGATCTCGGTGAACCTGACCGGCGTGATGAATTGCATGCGGGCCCAACTCCGAGAGATCTCGCGGCCGGGAGGCTCCATCGTCAACGTGTCCAGCACATCTGGCCTCCGAGGTCTGCCGCGCAATGCGGCCTATGCCTCGAGCAAATTTGGCGTCGTTGGCCTCACGGAGTCGACGGCCGCAGAGTACGGGAAGCTGGGGGTCCGGGTCAACGCCTTGTTGCCGTACGTAAATCCCCCCCCTCCCCCCCCCCTCTCTCTGTGGAATACAATGAGCACAGCGCTAATAATCCGCTTATAGAGGTCCGATCGACACCAAGATCTTCCGCGACGGAGAAAAGAAAGGCCTCTTTGATTCCGACCTCCTCAGCGCAGGCACCCTGCTGGGCCGGATGGGCCAGGCGGACGAAGTGGCCAAGGTCCTGGTGTTTCTATTGAGTGATGATGCGTCGTACGTGACGGGCGGTGAGTCTTTTTCATTTATTTACGCTTTCACAGCATGTCTTCCCTATTAGCAAGAACGTCCAAGAGGACTAACAAAGACTGCGAATCAGCACGCTGGACTGTCGACGGTGGGTACTCTGCCTGTGGATTCTACAGGTCTGGATGAGTTGGGCTGTTGTGGATCGATTGATCGACCATGCCGTCGGTCTACCTCCTCAACGGCTGAGGGTAGGTCGCATGAGATAAAACACTAAGCACGCTCCTCTCAAGATCTTCAGACAGGACATACCAGATTTGGGCTGGCTAGTTTTTTCCCAGATGTATTTCATACTATTCTAGGACTCTAGGACTTTTAGGTCTGAAGTAAATCATCCATCTATAGAGCGCGAGTCAAACAGTCCTGGTTGATGTGGCCGATGAATGCCTGTGAGCGGTGCTTCTCCGTCTTTGTCGTGATCGGCTTGACATGGTCCAACAGCCGCTGGAAGATATCGGAGGCTTCGAGCGCCTCCCATGCCTCTTGTGACCGAGTCCTAGAAGAAGCTTCTTGTTAGCATCCTATCACATCATATACTATGCCAGGTGTCGTGGGCATGGCAAGTGTGCGGTGTGGACTGCTGATGGGAACTGCTGGTGTAACGTAACGTACCTGATATAGAGACTGACCAGACTCAAATCATTGACTTCTTTGAGGACGGCGAAACTCTGCACCGCACCAAAGGGAGCAACCCCATTCCCGGCCGTGGCCTCGACCAAGTCGGCACAATCAGCCGCGACACCCAAGAGCTGTTTGCGCCTGCCCTCGGCGGCCGAGAAATGCACGACGCAGACGAAACTGTCCTGCCTGTCCCGGTCGGGGTCGTCCTTGCGGGTCAAAAACCCGCCGAACAGGTCGTAGTAACGAAGGTCGTAGTCAGGGCTGCCGATGCCCTGGACGGTGCGGAGCAGCTTGGCGTCGTCGACCTTGCGCATCTCGGCCTTGAACTCGTCGCTGGAGACGTGGTCGAGGAAGAACCCCGTCGCGTGGTAGTAGCCCTCGAGGCCCCAGAGGGTGTCGGTCTCGCCGTCCAGGTCGTGGCCCCAGTAGTAGGAATTCGAGTACCGCTCCGTTTTGGAGACTTTGCACAGGCCGGCGAGAACTTCGCGCCACTGGGCGTTGTGAAATAGAAGATCATTTAGTACGTTTCCCCCTCCTCGCCTTGGGGGATCATCTGGGAGAGAAAAAAGAAACTGGGCTAGATGTGAATGATGAGTGTGTGAACATTGTTTAACTCACCTTTTCCAACGCCCCGTCTCTGCTCACCACGCGGGCAATGACGAAAAAGAGCGGTGCCCCCATTTCTCTGGTTGTCTGTTGCGGTCGCTCGCTATTCCGGTCTTCCACGTCTTGGGGTCTTGCAAGGTTATTATGTATCACTGTGCTGAAAATAAGACTGACCTGCAGATCAGTTTGTATGCCGGAGAAAACCGAATGGTTCTGTCCAATCTGATCTATAATTATGATCTATAGATCTATAGTCTTGAAGACACAAGAAACGAAGATAGTTGAGGTGGCAGGGGTGGGCACAGAACTGCAAGCCTCAGCAACAAATGTCCTGACTCTTCCAACACCTCTGAGACACAAATACCATGTCAATTCTCTCATCTACCTACCTATCTACCTTCCTTGTGTTGTCGAAGATGATCCGTTTGGAAACTTTTGGTTCTGATTGGCCGGACTAATTGTGGTCCCCCTGAGAAGGGGGGTTTTTCCGCCTGTGAATGATACATGATATTCCTCCGGACCCCCAACAATCGGCGTAATTCTTTCAATGCTCCGCCAAAAAAACTGGGGTGGTGGATCTTGGCTCGGAGAAGCATTTGGGACCTGTGCATATTATAAGACAGATATGGGGATTAAAAAGGAGGAAAGAGGTGGTCGTTTCGCTTTGTCGCGCGGAGTGAACGGTTGGGTTGCTTGACCTTGGTGCCACATGTTAAAGGACGTCCTGACATGAATGGAGAAACATGTAATTGGTCCTACAAATTGATCATGTAGGGCTCGCTTTACGGTATCGTTGGTGCTGAATCTTCGGCAGGCGATGAATCACAACCCATCTCGCCAGTTTGTACAGTATGTAGAATCTGGCTCGCTGGGTTCAGACGATCGTCTCTATAGATCTGAATACAGGAGGGTTGCCGACAAGCTGGTGAGCCCTCACAGCTCCCTTGTATTTATATTGCTCTTAACCCAATTCAACACCATTGCGAGCTCTTTTTGTTAGACCCGCTAGTCATAAGAGAGAGCACAACAAATCCTCTTCCTCTTTGTCCGCCTCAGCCATGCCGATTCGTGAATAGGTAGTCGTTGACTGGTCCAGTCTGTCCAGCAGCAGAAATTCATCCGCTTTCCTGCCGTCTCTGTCGTAAGCGACCATGTGAAGGCACCAGCAGCGATACAGACTCTTATCGAATTGCTCAACCTCGTCCACTATACAAAGGACGTCCTCTCCATTCACGAACCCCTCGGCAACACCACATTCTTCATAATCTCTCTTCCTCACGCCGGGATGAGATGACAGGTCCGGTGTCACTCTTTGCAGCATGCCCCTGACAAGAATTGTTCCGCCCGCTTTCACTCGTCCATAAGTCGACCCTGGCGATGGCCCAAACATGACGGGCTGGGAGGTCGGTTCATACATTTCGGGATCCTTCTCAACCTAACCTTGTTGCCTTTCGAATTTCCCCTGCATGACGCCGCGGTAGCCATTTCAGATGAGACTCTTGAGAACTTGGTTGATGATTATTACAGTCCTACATGCCTAGAACCTTTTCTCCAAAATTGTCAATGACCTATTTGCATACAGGTATAACGACTCGGCGTTGCTGGGCTCCCCTGTCCACACGATTCAAGATTGTTGTTGGTTTAAAAACATCCTACCATGGTGACAACAGAAGTTTCTGTGATAGTTCCAGTGGATACCACGACAGGGTTGACGACAGTCGAGTGATAGGTCGTGGCAAAGTGTGCTGTGGTCACCGTGTCGACCTGACCGCAGCGAAACGTGGTATAGTTGACTTGGTTGTGATTTATTTTGTACGTCATACATTTCGGATAATCCTGATCCTCGCCACTAATGTCGTTGGGATTTATCTGTTAGTATATGGACAGTAGGAAGACCTTGAGGGGAAGATTCCTACCAGACGGCCGTTTTGCTGGAACATCCAGTCGTGGCACAAGACAAGCTGCTTTCAGCCTGATCGACACATTTGGTTGGGATGGCACAATCGGAAACGAATTCCCCATCGCTATCCACAGCGCAGCAGGCAATTGCCATATTTTTATTGTCATATGCGCAGTATTGATCGGATGGACAATCGAATTCGCGCAAACATGCATTGTCCAAGTCGTCGACAGATCTGAGGATCAGAGAGGACTCAGGCATGGCTGCGTACAAGGGAGGCCAACCTGATAAACCGGTTGAGGCAATCGTCGCGGTGGCCGTTGAACAAGTCGGAACAGCGCTTGCACTGGCACCAGATACGATGGTCGCAAGAGAAAGGACACCGAAAGACAGCATATCGAACATATTTGGTCAAGGTGAGGTTGAGTGCTCGATATCTCTGAGGGTTCGCGCGGATGGGAGCACATGCCGGATGGTCTTATACCTTGTCTCACGTCGATTTGCCGCACAGAGGTCGATATTTGCTTGCATTCATAATTGACCTCAGCTTCAGCCTTACCATGTCGCCTCTCTCGCTCCTCACACCACCAACTCTCCAAAATCCACCCAATCGATCCAAGGCGAAAGTTCGTATTCGCTTGCGCTGGCCACAGAGTTGGTCACAATCGAATGCACAAATCGAAAGACGATGCTCGGCCAAGGTGGTATTGTACGACTGAAGGCAGAACTGATAATCAAAAAGAAGCCATCATGCATTTATCTCCTGAGACACGCAGAACTCGTTGCCACGTGGACGTTTGTGTCGAAAAGACCACATGTGAACCGTTGATGTCGGGCACTCGGCCAGTAGGTTCCCTCCTCCTTCAGAACCAAACATCATATCTACGGACGACTGCTCGCACGTCTCAAAGACTTTTAGTGAAAAGAACTCGCTAGCACCACAAACAGTTGGTGACGGACAAGTCTCTGTACTTCATTCACAAGCACGTTGGACGTTGGACCGCGGCCATGCCTTCAACAGCTGTCAAGGATAAATTCTTCCACTTTGTCCTGACAGCTGTCACGACAGCATTCTTCACCATGACCGCTTTGTTCGGCGCATACTCGACGTCGGCCACCTCGATCTCTCTGGTCGTGAAGAGGTTCAGCTCAGCGATCGCCGTTTTGAGAATCTTACAAAGCTTGACCTCTGCCTCAACCTCGTTTCTCCTCAACTATACCCTCGAAGTCATCCAGTGGACCTTGTGCAGTCGAAGAGATGGACTGCGCCTTCTGAGCTTTCTTAGCATTTCCCCAACTACCGGCTTTCCTGGTATGTACCAAGTGATCCGGAGGGGAAGATGGAAAGATTGGGATCGAGTGTGGGTGGTGGTGAGGTCAGTACAGTCCTCTAGGCAGCCCGTCACCCCTTACCCTTACGCTGAACAGGCTCATCCTCATGGCAAGTTCTTGGGTCGCTGGAATCGTCTTATTCAGTTTGTCATCCTCGGCGCATATCTCCCATTGTCCATTTCGCTCACGTCGACCGTCTAGTCAAAACCAAAGTCGCGACAGTTTACGATCCTTACTACACATTCAGTGCTACGGCTGGCGTGGGGCTGTTCAACGGATCGTTGGCGAGGCAGATGATAAGTACTTTTCACGGGACCATCACATATCAGGTCCTGGCCTACTCATACAACTTTGTCACCAATACCCAATTCTCCGTCAGGTCGCCGCCCGTGGCATGCTCCGGACACTGCGACTCGTACATCTTTCCAGGCGCACTTTGGTCACTGCAACCTCCATTCCCGAGGGATGCACCACTTGACGCCGTCGTCAATATTGGCGTATCACCCGCGATACAATTGGACTTTATGCGCGGTCTTGGTATCGGTGACACATTTTCCCCCCAGGACTGCACCGTTTACCATGAGAATGGGGTCCGATATGGCTTGATGGTGTGTTTGGCAAAGAGCAAGCTGCACCCTGAGTCAACTATTGCTGGTGGGTGTGAAAAAAAAAACCCCTCGCACCCAGATCCCTCTCGAGTGCTAATCTGGTCTCGATCTGTGGCTAGGTTTGTTTTTATGCTCCGAGGTTCGTGAGGGAAGTTGTATCACGTCTCGCGTTCCATTCAGTCTCACTACAACCCTGACGGTGTACGGTCTCAGCACTTCGACCGCTTGTTCCAGGGGGAATAACAGCATCCTATCTATCGCTGATGTCGGGAAACCGGCTGTGCACGAGGTCGACGTCGGCGCACTGGGCTCAGCGCTGGATTGGCTTCTGAACTCCACCGCACAGGGGCTGCCACCGGCGTCCTCTCTCATTTTCTTGTTCTCGAATGCGGCACCAGGGGCAAACTACGATGAGTGGTCCATCATCACGTATCCGTCGCTGGAGAGCATCCTCGCCTTCCCGATCTGGCAGTTCAGCGTCAAAGGGGGTGGTTCCACGGCAGAATCACTTCCGCCCGAGTTCCACACCTCTGCTTCCCTGTCCAACCCCCTCGACAAGATCGTACTCAACCAAGCGGCCTTTCTCGTCTACCTTGTCCTCCAGACGACCGTGGTTGCCTTTCTCTGGGTGGTTTTGCTCTGGCGCTGCCTCTGGAAGTCCAGCACTCCCCAATTGTCGGCATATCCCTTGATCGACTTTTCCGCCAAACTGGACACTCAATACAAGATTGGAGAGTTTCGTCCAACGTGTGACCTGAAGAAGGAAGTCGCGACCGACGCGGAGAGCAAGGAAGTCATTGACGCTTTGGTCGAGGTGATGGTACTCGATCGAGCTTTGGGCGAAGAGAAGCTTCTGCGAAATCGGATTTTGATGATGTAGCTGTTGAAGCGCGCGGCAACAGAGCCCAACGAGGCTGTACAGTTTCGACTGGCCAGTACAAAGGCCGCTCACTCTGCAAAGCCCTGGCCAGTCGACCTCGCCATCTGTACGTACTTGTGTACTCGTACAGATATCTCACGCTTCTGAATGTAGCCCCGGAGAAGAATTATCTCCCAAACTATCATTGTACAAGCACAAAATGCGTCCTCGGCTCCTGTCCACAGGAGTCGGACTCTCACTATCCTCTGACCATGGGTAAGAGATCGCCAAGACGGGCATGTGGACGAATTTCGACCACTGCATTCCCAGATATGGTTGTCCTCCCAGCAAACACGCTCCGCTGCAATGTCAATGGCGCCAGGCAGAGTGTAGAGATGAACGTTGAATTGGGATTATGTTGAGTGAGACGGTGAGCTCGAATTGAATAGTAGTTAGAAGGGTATTGTGGCTTCTCTCACAATGTGATTTCGTCTCATTGTGAGCAACAGGTAAACACCAATTCCAAGCCCTTTTAATTCAGCTAGCTCTTCGAGCCCAGGTGTGAACGGTCGTCTGTCGCTTTCCTGGTCTTTGCAGTCTTCGCGCCATATTTCCTCTTCTTGCTTATCGAATTGCATCACTTCGGTCTCGGACTTTTGAAGCAAACGCTCATTGCAGTCAAAAGCCAGCACGAACGGCTGAAGCGGCACTGCAAGACCAATCGGCATTGCGGAGAATCAACTCCGGTCTTTGAGTGTCTATTATTGCGACATGTTTCGACACCGTCCAAAAGTCCATAATTGGAGACTCGACATTTCCAACCGAGGCTTAATTTGCAGGCTTCATCGTCTCTACCAATCACGACGGCCAGTAAATACCGAGGAAACCCACCGATGGGGGGAAAAAAGGACACTGACTCTGCATTTCTTTGATCGATACATCAAGCCCAAGACAGGATGGCGCCAGATGGGAAAACGCTGCATGACTCGGTGGGTGGGTTAAGAATGACTTTCTCCCCAAGAAGAAATACGAAGGTCTGTGGGTTGCTGGTGTCGATACACCACCCAGAATGAGAATGACCAAGGCGGAAGGCCAGCCAGACGTCTCTCAGGCCGAATGTCACGATCCCCAAGATGTCCACGCTCTCGGTGTCGCCGCCCCAGATGGCCCCTTCGAATTGCCAGAGAAGGCTGTCGAGGTGCCCGTGGCAGGGACGCCTTCATCACACAACTCGATACCGTTGATGGATTTGGAGAGAGACGTTGTCGGCTGGGACGCGGTGGACGATCCTGCTAACCCCAAGTGAGCCGCCCTGTAATCGCTAAAGTGGGTGGGGAATGGAGTGTTGACCTGAAGTTTGCAGGAATTGGAAACGGAAGAAAAGGGGCTTCTTGATGGTGCAGGTGGCTACCATGGCGACTATCAGGTGTGTTACTCGAGACGGAAAGAGTTGTCGACTTCGAGATGGGACAAAGAGGTGTGCTTACCGGTGTCTGCAGTCCCATGGCTTCCTCACTCTGCGCTCCAAGTATAGAAAGTACAATGAAAGACCTACACGAGTCGTCTCGAGTGCTCGGATCTCTCATGATCACCATCTACGTCCTCGGGTACGCCGTAGGCCCCCTGTTCCTGGCACCTCTCTCGGAAATCTACGGTCGATATCCTGTGGTCATGATATCTTCCTGGATGCTTGTAGCATGGCTTTTGGGATGTGGCTTCGCGCCCGACATGGCGAGTCTCATTGTCATGCGTTTCCTGGCTGGACTAGGCGGATCGGCCATCATCACCATCTCGCCGGCCGTGGTGGGAGATCTCTATCCTGTTGAAAGACGGGCTTTTGGCTCCGCCATCATTGCAGGGAGCCAATCTCTTGGTCCTATCGGTACGAAGCAAATCTCTGCCAGATTCTACGCGTGGATAATACTGATGCGATTCGCAGTGGGACCAATTTGCGGAGGGTTCATCACCGAGTATCTCACCTGGCGATGGGTATGCTCCCCTAGTCTCTTGCTAAAAGGCTCGGGCACGTTCAATTGACACCGATGCAAGGCATACTGGATCCTGGTGCTTTGTGCCGGATCGACCTCCGCAGTCCTCACCCTCTTTATGCACGAATCCAACGCTGTCGTCCTCCTGGAGCGAAAGGTCCGAAAGCTGAGGAAGACGCTGGGTCGACCGGAGCTGGTGTCGGCTGTTCAACACCGCATGAGCGCACACGAGCTGTTGAAAGTCAGCCTGATCAGGCCGTTGAAGTTAAGTCGTGTCGAGTTGGTAATCCGATGGCTGGCTGATGGTTGAGTTTAGCTCTTGGTCAAATCCCCGATTGTCTTGTTCATTAGCATCTATGTTGCGACTGCCTATGGCTTGTTATGTGAGTGCTTCAAACTCTGCTGTCATTGACCTATCGCTTGCTTCTTGACTGACCGTGCTGCAGACCTCATGTTCACCACCCTTCCGACTGTATTTCAAGAATCCTATGGCTGGTCTCTTCAGCTCACCGGTCTCTCTTATCTTGGACGTGAGTTTGCAGTCTGGTTCCCATACCAAAATAGCCACGAGCTGGAATCTAACAGTGTGCACAGTTGGATTTGGAACATTTGTGCGCCATGCCCTCTTGACTCTGTATCGAGGTATTCTTCTAACGGCGCCACTGTATAGGCGGCATTGTTTGCTCTGATCAAGTACAACGACGCACAAGTCGTGAAGCTCATGAAGGAAAACAACGGCGTATTTGAACGTAAGGTCCATTGCTGCTCTATACTTGCAGATTCCAGGCTGACCATGTTCAGCTGAAATGCGACTCTCCACGACAACATATTGTGGGATCATGCTGCCAATATCTCTGATCTGGTATGGCTGGGTAACAGACAAACGAGTTCACTGGTATGTTCCACCGAAGAGGAGTAGCGGTGTGTGTGTGCGTGCGCAACGGTGATTCACATTTCTGATCAGGTTCTCGGCCATCGCCGGCACCGTGCCGTTCGGTATTGGCATGTTCGGCATCTTCCTCCCCTTCCAGACCTACATGGTCGACGCCTTCCCCATGCATGCAGCCTCCGCCATTGCCGCTCCGACCGTCATGCGTTCGCTCTTTGCAGCTTTCTTGCCCCTGGCGGCGCCACCGCTCTACCAGAACCTAGGCTTGGGCTGGGGGAATACCCTGTTGGGGTTCGTGGCTCTGGCCATGGTTCCCATTCCGTTGGCGTTTTACAGGTAGGATACCGCTGGATACAATGACGCCGCTCGCTAATCTGGTCTTAGGTATGGCGGGAGAATCAGGAGGAAATTCCCGGTTCGTTTGTAGCACGAGGTGGTAGACAGGCGTTGAAAGATGTCGGCACCTCTCCAGAAGGGATGTGAGAGAGTGTTTTGGTATGATGTAAGGCAGCCGAGCAAAGCCTGGGACAAAATCTCTTTCATCTATAGAAGGTAATGGAGGGAAAAGCATTAGATCCGGACAAGAGAATGCGGCGTAGTATGGAATTCAAATAGGATACCTCGTAGTTGAGGGCAATATTGCGTGACATTGGCCCACCTTACTGTCTCTCTCTCTCTCTAGCGACATCTCGCCTTTCCCTTAACGAGACATTACTGAATCACAAATGCCAAATGCCTGTACATAACTTATTCTCAGCCTCGTAACTCCATCCCTTGCCAAGAAAGTCGTAAAATCAGCCTTGCAGCGACGTCATCATCAGGCTGCGCCTTGCAAGGTCGTTGCTTGGCATCACACCGCCGGGGCCTTTTTCATCTTTGACGACCTCGGAAGGTAACACAGTTTGCCTGGTTTGTGCAAATATCAAACAGCGAAGCAATGTCTTGCTTGACCACGACGTCTTCCACCATCAAGTCACCCTCGTGTTCCCCGTTGTTACAGCTCAAAGGATTGAAGTAGCAGTCTGCGTCTCTCGAAGATACCAAAGTCGGTTCAGATCAGATCAGATCAGATAATAGGCTTCGCGCCCCTCCTCGTCTCAAGGGACACAGGTGCATGAGCTGTATCTCTTAGATAGAGTTCTCGAAAGATTACTCTCCAGGTAATGTGTCATGTCCACGCCGCAGGCGGAAACCAAGGCCGAGGCCGAGGCGCTTGTGCCTCAGTTCCAGCTCGAAAGGGTTCTCAACCAAGGTGAGAGAGAGAAAGAAAGAGAGAGATGCGCCCAGTTTTAGTCGGCGAGCCGGCATCTAAGTCGGATGCGCTATTGATTTGCTCAATCCTTGACATGTTGTTTGCATTCTACTCTCGCGCACATCCGTTCTGACCGAGATCCCGGGCCAGACCAGAATGGACGACGGATCTCTCTGCTCGGCAGCATCGCCGGCCGGCCGGCGCTCATCACGCTTGAACGGGCGGCGTTCCCCACGGAGCCGGAGCTCGTGTCGTCGCTCCTGAAATCTCTCATCAACACCACCAACCTGGGCGCCAACGACATCTACAGGTGGTACATGGCGAACCGGTCAATAGACGCATCATCTCCATCTTCCACCAGCGCCCCGTCAACGTCACCATCTACGACCTCGTCGCCCCCGATCATCCCAGACTTCAAACTCAACATGATCTATCCGTGCTCGCCACAGCATATACGGAAATACTCGGCGCAGCGTGTGCGCATGGTCACGGAAACACCGCACATCTACGCCACGCACATAAGGCCATACATAGCCAGCCAACGCGCCGCGGGCCGACTCGACTGGGTGTTCAACATCCTCGAGGGCCGCACGGAGCAAGAAGACGTCATCGCCCGGGTCGACTGGGACTCTCGCGCCAACACGGGCTTTCTCCTGCTGCCGGACCTGAACTGGGACCGCAAAACCGTCGAGGGCATGCACCTGCTCGCGCTCGTGCAGCGACGGGACATCTGGTCCCTACGCGACCTGAGACGGAAGCACGTCCCCTGGCTCAAGGCCATGCGCGAACAGATCGTCGCGGCCGTCATCGCCAACGTCTTCCCGCCGCACCAGGGCCACGGCCACGGCGAGCAGCTCGACCCCGACGAGATCAAGTGCTACCTGCACTACCAGCCCACGTACTACCACCTGCACGTGCACGTGGTGCACGTCATGCTCGAGGCCGGCACGACCCAGAGCGTCGGCAAGGCGTTTGGTCTCGGCAACCTGATTGCCCAGCTGGAGGGGATGCGGGGGGACGACGACGAGGCGGGCATGCACGAGGTCGACCTGCACTACTTTCTGGGCGAGGAGAATGAGTTGTGGAAGAAGTGTTTTGGTCCGCTGAAGAGGGGGGAGGCGGTCGAGTTGGGGGGTTGAACACCAGAAGGAGTTTCTGGGCTGGGCTAAGCTAGGCTAGGCTAGGCTAGGCTAGAAACAGTCTCTAATATATCTCCATCCCCATCTCCCCTTTGTAGGTTCCTCCCCTGGAACCTCACCCACCGTGCCCCCCTTCATCGCCCACGCCCCAGATGGGCACGAGTCAATGTTGAGTCAGGGCTAGGTCGGATGAACGACCACCCACCCGTTCGGTATATTTACCATAGTCATAGCCATCATTCTAGGTAGGGTCAAAAGAGATTCCTAACCCCGGCTTACACACGCTCTCTCTCTCTCTCTCTCCCATCCGCGTTAACGTCATCTCGCGATATATTATTATTATTATTGTTGTTGTTGTTGTTGTTGTTATCATCACTATCAAAAAGGGACCAGCTTCTCCGTTTCGTCAGTCAGGCTACGTGGCAAGGTAGGTACGACTTTGACCAGAGTAGAAGCCGTGCCGATGACCAGATACGGGTGGGGGAAAGGCTGAACCTGACGGATACAAGGGGGTCGTCGAGGAGAGGGTATCAATTGGTCTTGCTCGATGAAGGATCTGCTTCGAGGAGGCTTGGAGACAGTCAACCAAGTCATACGACCGAATGGGGCTGGAGCAACGCCAACCCTCACTGAGCTAAAAGGGGTATTTTCAGCCTCATCGGGCCATCAGACTGACAGAAAAGACTGACACACAGCTCCGAACGGCCTCGCCATGGTTGGGCAGCAGAACCTGCATGCAGGGCAACACAGAATTTTTCGCAGAGGTAACACATACGCATGGCTGTGAGACCGTCATGTTACACGACCAGGCAGTCGCTGAATAAGACTGTGGCATCAACATATGCATGCGTTGTACCCATCCTCGTATGCCTTTGCGGATATGGGTATGTTACACAGATTTTGACACGTATTTTACTTTCTCGTACTCCAGGCTACACCGCCCCCCAATGACCAACTCCTCCAGGCCCGTGAGCCTTGCATATCCATGAGAGAGTGCAGGGCGGTCGTCGGTATGTAAAAGGAGAGACTCTGTTCCATCCTGAAAAGTTTTGAGCTGGGCCAACTTGAACCTTTTGGAGAATATTGAATCATGACGAAAGAAATGAGAATCTATCAGGCTGCCGTCGACCTGGATAAAGTCTTGACAGAGAACGGGATCGGATATGGGTGTTTCGGGGGCTGGGCCATCAATGCAATTGGTTGCGATCGTGGCACAAAGGACATTGACTGTCTCGTGGGCGCCGAAAAGGACGACATCGCCCGGGTTTTCTCGGATCAGCCCGGTTGGCATCAAATTCCTGGTCAGAGAGAAGACTACATCGCTTTCCTCGTAGGGGAGAAGACGGAAAATGTCCTGGTGGAGATGTTTCCCTGTAAGCCTGGATTTTCCAAAGTTGTACCAATGTCACTGATTAAGGAAGCAACCACCAAAGCTTCGGTGGGCACCGAGGCCATCAAATCCATGATGCAGAGCATTGCAACCCGAACAGTCCCGGTTCGAGGTTATTCAATGCGAGTGTTGGAAATCGTGTACATTTTCAAGGGAAAGGTCAACGCGGCAGCAAACCGGTCCAAAGTCTCCGACAGCAACGACATCGAGTACGTGCACGCTCATTTCGAGTCGACTCTCCGAGAGCACGTGCATCAAATCAACATTCAGGATGTTGGCAAGGCCATCAAGAGGTACCCTTCGCTGTCCAAGGTGTTTAGCAATCTTGGTATCGATGTCAAAGAGGCAGTCGAACAAGCAGGAAGCCTCGAGATCACCTCCATGCATCCTCCTCCGTTCCTTTGTCAAAAAGCCATGTTGGAATAGTGGCTCGTGTATGACCTATAGGTTGACCGACCTTGTCACCAGGAATTCCTTTTGACTCTGTCTACAGCCACGGGGCAAAATTCTCTTCAGCCAGATCTCATTTTGCGTCTTCAGCTGTTGCGGGACTTGCTGGACTCGCGGGACCCCTCGTTGATTGCTGCAGACGGCGGTTCCACGATACACAAATTGGGCGGACCAGTGTGTGTGACCAAATATCCAGCATCGAATGCTTTTGGCGCCACTCCAATGAGGAATTTGAGATTTGAGGATGTCGGAACAAAAAGCAGAATTCCAAGGGTTGGACAAATATTTCGGGTCGCATGTGTTTTTGAGGGCTGGAGCATGGTGCGTAACGACAAGGATCTTGCTTTCCGCATTTGCTTGCGTAACGTCCTGTACGCATGTCCTGAGCCATTCAGTGTCTCGGTAGTGTTCTGCGTTGTGGCTTTCCACAGTCCAGTCACCGATGTGGCTGAAATCCGCAACTTTCATTCTGACCCACAACTCGGACTCGCTTGGTATAGACGTGTGCAACGTGCATCCGAGGATGGCTATTCTTCGATTCAGGCGGAACATGGTTCTGTTCAAAACCGTCAGTTTGCCCCCTAGACATGGCTCTTGCTCCAACGACCGGGCCGTTTCGAGCCCTTCCTGTCTGAGGATGCCATAGAATTCGTGGTTTCCAAGGACGAGAAAAACCCGCCAAAACCGTTGACATTGTATGGTGAGAAACTCCAGGTATTTGCCATAGTCCTTGAGACGGCCAATATCGCCTGCCAGGACTAAATACGGCGACACTCGAGGGATCTCAAAGTCGTAAGTTTGCTGGCTCTCCAGATGAAGATCTGACATATATTGAAGCGATACCGAGTGTTTATGGGCTGCCAGGCGAGATATTGTGCTTCGGAAAAGGGCGAGGGCGACTAAGCAAGCCCGTTGAAAGGCTGATTTCCAAGATCGACCGTTTTGGCTGCCTGTTTCCCGGTCGTGAAGCGGCTCTTGCGTACCTGGGATCTTCATCAATTCTCGTTCATCTTGACAGAGATAATCGCTCTCCAAAAATAGATTTTGACGTTGTGGCCTGGTTCCTATCACGCCGATCACGTATTTCAGCTCTTCTTCTCGACCAGGGTCGAGATGCGTGTTGCACCAGGCTTCACTCAGCACCATTCCATCAACAAGTTGCTCCACGCAGACAGCACAGTATATATCTTGCGTTTCACAAAACCTCCTCAGCAGTCCCTGCAAGAGCGATGACAGACGGGGGATAGGGATCCTGGATAGCTCGGAGATATCGGTGGAGAAGTTGAACTCGTTGCTAAAGAAAGGACGAGCTGAACTGTATGCAGAACGGTCAACTATTGAATGCTTCAGCGGTTGAAGGTGGAAATGCGTGTCAGGAAATATGACAAGAGTCAGGTAGTCTTCTTCAATAAATGCTTCAAAGCGAGGATATGGCTTCTTCCAGTCAGCGTGTTGATCGGTCCATGCTGTGCGTACGAAAACATCGTTGTGGGCATTGATCAGTTTGGTGGCGGCATCTAGCTGCGAATGCGGGACACAAATACCCAGGGTCTAGTATAATAAGTTAAGCTTCTTTTGTTTCTGTCACATAGGACTCACATTGAGTATCCGAGGCACATTGTAGTAATTCAACGCAACTTCTTCGACAACGCAAAACACAATCTTCTCACGAGCCAAGGCAGCCTGCACGGCCGCTATGACTTGAGATACGATCATGCTAAGTAGACGTCGAACCGCGCACACATTCCTTCTTGTCCTGAACCACGGAAATTTGGGTGATTGGAAGGCAATGTTATGTGGATTCTCGCTTCGCTGGGGATCTCGACAGTCTCAAGTTCCCTTTGCTAGCCTCGGTAGAGAGCACTCGGTAGGTGCACGCAGAAATGGTCATAGGCCTGGCGGACGATGGAGCTGGTAGAGTTATATAAGAGAGCAAGAAGGGAGAAGGGGAAATTGTCTCAAACACGGTGTAATTATGGGCAAGCCCTGATTGCTGACGCTCGAACCAATCAAATACCTCAGATGGCCATTAAAAGTTCCACAGGCTGGTCTCCGTCGAGCCAGTTGACCAAATATTAAGTGGCACAGCATCCTGTGGTAAATACCTAGTCACACCGTACTATGCTACCCGAATATAATCCTGAGATGCTTTTCTACCACCATTTATTAGGAATTATTGTTTAATATTAGTATCATTATATAGCTTATATACTCTTCATTGTGTCGAGGAGAAAAAATCCAGAGTTTTACACTTAAAATTTCGAGTAAAGGAGATAATAACCTCAGAGTATCTTAAAAGGTCATTACTTCGCTGTGCCACTTGTTTTGTCACCTGGCTCGCCGTCCATTTGGCGACGTCATTGCCAAGCAATCGTTACGGGCCGAACCTTTTCATGTTCTCCATCAAAAGGAAACGGAGGCATTCCCGCATCTTTTCAATGCGGCACTTTGCAATGCAAATGCGTCAAGCCAGACGACAGTCAACAATACTCAAGGGCCCGCGACAATCCCAAACCCTGTCCACTACCATCCCAGCCGCCTGCACGATCCTGTCAAATTCGACCGGCGTCCTCTCCCGCCCGTTCGTCATCATCATCATGTTCAGGTCCATCATGTGCGCGGGCGCCATGGCCACGCCGTAATTAGCCAGCAACGGGGTCGAGGTCGACCCGAATTTGTCCGTGGGGACTGTGGTGCGCATCAGTGTCTCGGCAATCAACACACGCGAGGTTGGAGTCATGGAGTCGGCCACTCGCGAGAGGATCGCGATTGCGTCGTCATCGGCCCAGTCGTGGCTGAGGATGCATGCGTACGAAATAAGTATATGTATCAGCTGCAAGAGAGAGGAAATTGGCACAGAGTGAGAAGTCCTCGGCGCTTGTACTTACATGATATATCGCAACCAGTAGATCTCGGCGCCCACCACGGGGTTCTTCTCAAAGAAGTCATGCGGCGTTAGGTGGACTCTCCCTTCGACAAGGGCAGAGTGATGTTTGGTTTTCCAAAGCGCCAGGCCTTGCTGAATCACATGTGGCTTGTCTTGGACGACGAGGTTGAGATGGGCGTGGTGCGCGTGGAGTTGCATGCAGAATGAGCCTGTCCGCCTCCATCAGCCACCAAGATACACACCTAAAACACCCGCGCACAGGATGGTGAGATTGAATGAAAAACCTACCAATCCCGCCACCAACATCCACGACCGTCGCGCCATTCGGCAGGTCCTCCCAGGGGAAGTCCAACACGCAATACTTTTCAGTGCCTCTGACCTGGCCGCTGATTGCGAGGTTGAAGAGATTCTTTTCCGGCCGGGGCACCGTCTTCTGGCCGGATAAATGCGGTCTGGATGGTCCGTCCTGTCCATCACCGTCCCCCTGTCCCTCCTCGTCGTCTTCGAGGGGATGCCTCTGCCGACTCCGTGGCCGCCAATCCACCTCCGACTCAAGCACCGTTTCGTTCATCCAGTCGAACAGGGACAGTTTCGTGCCGACGGCCTGCTGAAACGCCGTTTTCCGCGGGTCGTAGCTATTCCGAGTAGCAGGGTTCGCCAGAACTTGCGGCAGATACTCGCTGGCGGCGTACTGGAGCTGGCCCCTATATTTTAAAAACGATCAGGAACGGGGTCTAGTCCGTGCATACCCGGCATGGCCCTCCTAGTCGCCCTGATGCCTTACCAATTGACCTCCTTTTTAAAACTCCTTGTTATCCCCTGTTTCCGTAGCTACGAGCAAAGAGTGAAACTGAGAGGACTTACTTGAGGAGGATATTTGCTTGAAATGCCGCGTCTCCAACAAGTGCGTGGGAGATGCGGTTGTTGGCGAACCGACCATCCTCGACCTCTTCAAAGACATGGTGCGACGTCAACGTCCGCATGACTCGGCCTGTGGACATACTTTTGTTCAGCGAGTCGTTTGTCGTCAATAGATTTGTCCTTCTCTGTCAGGGGTAGACAGAGGCGCAAGGCCGGGAGGGGGGAAGGGGATACATACATAACTTCCCTTGCTCAAGGCCGGTCGTCCTCGCGAGGTCTTCGGCGCTGACTCCCCGGGCCTCAGGCTCGTTGTGGTTCAAGGCGAGCAACTCGGCCACGCGATGATCCGCGACGACATGCAACGCTCGCGCGATGAGGTACGACATGGACAGGTTGAGCAGGCGCGTGTGCGGATCGAGCACGAGGCTCTCTATCGAACCCAGCGCGGCGAGGATGGTCTTGACGGCGTCGTGCTCGGCATGCGATACGGTGCTGGTATTGGGGTCAGCAGTCTCGATTCTGGCATCGACAACTCCATTGCCCGAAGACGACGATTCCCATTCACACGCGAGATTCTCCACCGCGGTGGCGAGGAGTGCCAACACCGCGCGGAGCTGTGCAGCAGCCTCGCCAGTATCCAGGGGGAACATGTTTCAAGTACACAAGTTTGGACGAGTATCGCTCTGGCATGAACACGGGTGGTCCGATGCTACCTATGTAACCTACCTACCTACCTAGTGATATCATGTATATGACGACAGAGGGCGGTAGAGTGCGACTGACTGCACTGACTGACTGACCGACCGGCTCGCCGATCTCAGCAAAGACCTTCTCGGACGGAAACGTCATTACTGGCCATGGCGTTCGCGCGAATACACCAGGGAGGAGTGTAGGCATGCAAGTTTGGAGTTGAGGAGCACTTGGTCAACACCGACACCGACACCTAGACACTTCTACATCTGGTGCCTGGTGCCCGGTGCCTGGGGCCCTGTGCCTGGTACTCGTGTTGAGTGAACACCTTGCATGCCTAGAGAATACATGCCTACCCGTCGAGTCACGCGCACGAGTGGACACTAGTCCAGATAGACACGCAATGCGAATGCCATGCAGACTCCGCCCTGGGTCTGGACCGGAATCCAGATGGGGGAAAATACGACTATCGAGTATCGAGGATCGAGGATCGAGCATGCATGCATGTTCGGTAGACAGGGCACCTACTGTAGGTCGTGTTAGAGTGCGGGAACATCTTCCTCAAGGGGACTTACCCAGATACGTACGTACGTAAGTACGTACTGGGTATTTACGTACAGTACAGTACAGCATAGTATAGAATAGCATGATTTTAGCATGAGAGTACAACAAAGGGCGTACTTTGTAGATAAGTAGCTGACGTCGACAAGTCGCAATTACTCGCATACCACTCGCCGCCACACTACCCAGCTCGCCTTATGCCATTATACACTATACACTAGCCGTTAACAGCAGGTGCTTCATGTGCCTCGTGCAGGGATCTATCAGGTATCTACGAGTAGAAAGTACTCGTGTGCTCGCGTGCTCGCACTCCGTGTACCGGTACCCGCGCGTCCAAGGACTGTATAGCCGTATATGCCCACATACCCGTATCGTCACTGCACTACATTCCACTCCACTCCACTCCACTCCACCCCAACCCCACAAGGCAGAAGATCAGGCGAGGGCTCCTCCATTCCATTCCTTCAATGATGTACTCGAGCTCGGCGAATCTCCCGTAAGCTGACAACCACCGACGACGACCCACGACGGGGCGACCCAGGATCCAATACCGAGGGACTTTTGATTGCCTGATCGGGGAGTGCTGATGATCAATGAGTGACGAGGATCGAGTCACGATTGACGACTGACGGGCTGGCGACTCGATAACTACTGGATCACTTTTGATGGCCGCATCTGGCTAGCGGTTGGATAGGTAATTGTCTGAGTGGCTAGCTGACCGAGTAACTTTGGGGACGAGATACGGGGCGAGCTATACTCGTAACTCATTTGTACCTTCGCAAGCAAGTAGATAGGGACAGTCTATGTAAAAGACACTACAATGACACATTTACCAGATTACATCCCTATGTAGATGGATTGCGAATCTTTTTGTATATTTGTTTATTGTGTATTTATGTATTATGTACCGAGGACTGTGCATCGTGGGTGGAGAAAAAGCACCAGCCTCGTCTCCCGATCGGGTAACAATCACCTCCCGACTCGCCGAGTACATGTCCCCATTCTCGGAATGTCCACCACCTCCGTAAACGTACAAGGTACAAGGTAATAGAGAGAAAGGTACAAAAGCCGCATCTGGTCAACCACGCGTGATCCAGGCACCTACGCATCCCGGGAACTGGCAACTAGCCCGGCGACGCCCCGTTCCCCGACTCCCCCCCCCCCCCCCCCAAAAACTCATACATAC